TTCATATATTCTCAAGGTGGCACCACATGTCCATGTAGCCAAATCTTTTGGGTTAAGCAAAGCCAGAGACGATGCAAACTGTAAGCCAAAGTAAAAGAAGGCTAGTACTTTTGCTTACACAGCTCCTCCAAGACAAAGGCCAGGAAAGGAACTCAGTGTGATATTTGATTGGCAGATGTTGTTATTTAAAACATGCCCACTTATTTGGAAGGGAACAGCTGTGCAGGGAACATAAGAGGCAGTGAAAGCAGACTTTTTACAAGTCAGAATCTACTTGTCAGCTTGTCTAACTTTGTAGATCAGCAGTAATAAAGGAGAACAAGGAAGAAAACATCTTACCCAGGCTCTCTTAAGCCTTCTCCAAGAGGTAGACTAGCAGCATTGTTTCTTTTCTGAACATATGCTATGCAAAGGAAGAACATTTCTGGCACCCGCAACGAATTAAAACAACTTTTCACATAGTAATTCACACCATTAGGCTTTGCTGTTTCTTCACATTTGGCATTCATGTTGTAGATGCTGATGAAATACATTATGGGGCATTAACTATAGTCGGTATCTATTATCTAGAACTATACTAGTATCCCCACCCCAGTCCACATGAAAACTGCATCAGATTTCTGTCTTTAAGACTAAGTTGTGTTCATTGTGCCTCCTTCTACTGGCTATCCCTGACACTTACTGCTGTCAGCTAATGCCATTGCTTTTCTAGTCAGCAGATAAAGATCTGAGCTTTGATGCTGAGGGGTCAAGATTCAAACCTTGCTGAAGATATAACTGCAATTGGACTATTACACTTGCACATCAGTTGTACTCAGAGTACCACTGAGAGAACAGGAAAGATAAAAATAAGACAACAGAGCAAGGAGATATGTATAGGTTGGATGGTTTATAAATAAACCACACAACACAGAACTTTAAAAGTCGCCAAGTAAAGCATCAGAAGTTAAGAAATGCCAGCTTGAAATCTGCCAATTTCCCACCCTCTTTCCCCGACTTGTGTATTCTGATACAGTCTTAAGTTACATGGTAACACACTGGGGTTTTTTTCCAGGTGACCCCTACCTCATTCAGTGCAAGAGATGGGCCCCATGCTCTCTAGCAAGCAGGTATTTTACATTTTGCTTTCTCTGTATTATTCAGGGTGGTCCTGGGGCCTTATTTATTCTGCATTGTTATTCAGACCCTGCTCTGCAGATGCAATTATTAATTTCCTTATAGGTTTTTCCATAGCAGTCATTATGCCAAGTTTGTCAGAAACAATTTATTTTTGTAGCAGCCCTGTAAGATGAAGGGATATCATCCTCGCTTTACAGATGAGATGCTGAGGAACAGAGTGATTAGGGTCAAAAGCATGTGCGGATGCCCAATTCCAGATGCCTACGACTGAATTTTCCAGAACTCTTACCATTTTACAGCATTTTATCCATTCATAAAGGGCCTCCTTTCATGTCAGCTGCAATTGTGAGTGTACCACACTTCTGTTCTCATCTTTGCAAGACTGTAATGGCTCTTTTAAAGCAGTTTGTGTGTGTGCACATCATTACGTACTTCCAGAGATCACTTTCCAAGCATGGTTTGTCTCAGGGTATGAAGATAGGGTTCAAGTCATCATGAATAAAGATCCAGCACAAAGTTCTGTGATCGACTCAGTTCTGCTTTGGTGTGCACTGATGCTCCAGCCGTGGGAGAGTTTCATCATATGAACAGCTCTATTTGACTGCATTTTTCCAACTCTTCCTACAGGTTTCCAATTGCCTATCTTTGTACAGCTAACAAATTACAAATAATAATAATGCTACTGTGCTCATTCTGCCCCAAATAAGGAAAAAAACTATCAGGGATGGTCAGCCTACTTGTGCACGTCACATTAAGTCTGGAGCTGAAGATGTACCGTGAAATTGATGACTTTTGTCACTAGCATGAAGTGAATATAAATCCAAATTGGGGGAGGGCACAGAAACAAAGACAAGCTTGTTATCTAGGGAAGACTTTTCACTTCAGCTTGCTAAAGAAATTAAGCCACGTCAACTCCCTCCATGCAATGGAATGTAGCTTCCTCCTCACACTTCCCTTGCTGCCAATGCAAAATTATTCTTCGGTAAAGTCACGAGGAGATGATGTGATTTGCCCACATTCGCATAGGGAATCTGTGGCAGAACTGGGTTTTGAACCCTGAGGTCCAAGTCTGCTGCTTTAACCACAAAAACATCCTTCCTCTCAGGCCCTTGAACTGGTCAAACTATGACGGACTCAGCAGAGAAGCAGTGTCAGGGAAGGGCAACGTTTAGGAAGCTGCCCATACAGAGGCAGTCTTGATTTGCTTCTAAGTACTGGAGATCACAATCAAAGGGACAGCTAGCAATGCCATCCCTGCAGTCTAGCTGGGAAGAAGCATGACAGCAGGGCAAAAGCCAGGAGTCATAATTTCATAGCTGCTTGGGGCTGGAAGGGACCTTGCAGACATTTCAGCATTTCCTGAATGAAAGATTTTATTTTGAAAATGTAGGCACTAAATATTTTGGCATTTTGGTGAATTTCTTTCCTTATTTTTCCAGCCAAATCTATTTGTTCCCCCCCAAAAAACTTAGTTTTCAGGGAACTTACTATTTCTCAAACAAAACTTTGCCAAGCACCAATAATTTATTAGTGCTCATGGGGGTGGGGCATGATACAGGCAACCCCAAAGGCAAAAGAGTAAACCCTGACCTATCTGAAGTTAATGGATCTTTGCATCTGACATCACTAGAGCCAGCACTGGAGGCCCACACCAAAGAGCTTGCAATCTGATGGGAGATGACCTTAAGCCTGAGTCTGGTATAAGTTCTAGTAACTAGTGAAATTACAACTTAGCCACCCTGCCGCCAAGTTAACCACAACCCAACTTAGCCCGCTTATTCTGCCACAACAACCTTAGGATTCCAGTTTAGTTTTATAGATCATAGTTTAGTTTTTCTAGACCATAGTTTTATAACTCCCTTCACTTGGCCTAGCAAGACCAGGAACACTGCTTGAATTGCTTGAAATCCTGAAACTCCTACATCGTAGAACTGATGCTGCTTGTCATGATTCATACACTCACCCCCCAGTCTTCATGAGTCACTGATTAGCCTTGCTGACTCACTGAGCTATCACAGGTCCTACACTTTCCCATGAGGCAGAGCATTGTTGGAATTCACATAATCTCCCGTGTTTCCATCTCAGCAATATTCATTACACGTATGCAGGGAGTTGCACCTTGTACCCCATGCAGCTTTGTATCCCATTCGAATCCTGGGCTCAGCCTGACAGTCAACAGATGCAACTCAGAGCAAGCTGCTCTTGGCCTCTGTGGCAGCCTTTGTCCTCTGCCACTTCTGCTATCATCCCTGTGCAGCAAAGCCTTTGGCACCGGTGCTTTGTATCTCTTCAGTGCTGCCTATACTGTGTCCAAGCCAATGAGGAAATTCCTGTTGTTTAGTCCAGATCATGCCTTAGCAGAGCTTTGCAGAGGCAAATATACATTGTCCACATTAATCCTATAAATAGCAGTGATGAACTGGAATAGAATCATAGAAAATTAGGGTTGGAAGAGACCTCAGGAGGTCAACTAGTCCAACCCCTGCTCAAAGCTGGACCAGCCCCAACTAGATCATACCAGCCAAGGCTTTGTCTAGCCAGATCTTAAAATCCTCTAAGGATGGAGACTCCACAGCCTCTCTGGGTAGCCTGTTTTAGTGCTTTACAACCCTCCTTGTGAGAAAGTTTTTCCTAATATCTAATCTAGACTTCCTTTGATGCAACTTGAGATCACTGCTCCTTGTTCTGTCATCTGCCACCACTGAGAACAGTCCAGCTCCATCCTCTTTGGAACCCTGCAGGTATTTGAAGGCAGTATTTGAAGGCCCCCCTCAGTCTTCTCTTCTCCAGACTAAATAAGCCTGGTTTCCTCAGCCTGTCCTCAGAAGTCATGTGTCCCAGGCCCCTAACCATTTTCATGGCCCTCTGTTGCATGCTTTCCAATTTACAGCAAAAGCTTTGTTATCTGGCACCCATGGGGAATGCGGGGTACCAGATAACCAAATATGCTAGTTCCCTGAAGCATGAACAGTTGTTTTTGCCTGTTTGTGCTGCCACCCCTCCCGTCGTGTCAGTGTGCCGGGGAACAGGGAAGGGCTGCTTTGCCCTGGGCTGTGGGGGCTCAGCAAAACCAGAAGTGCCATGGTGGGCACTTCTGATTTCACTTTTGTCGCGTCGACTGGCATGCCAGTTAATAGAGCATGCCGGTTTGTAAGGTACCGGATAACGCGGCTTATGCTGTACCTACATCCTTTCTGTAGTGGGGGGCCCAAAACTGGACACAGTACTCCAGATGTGGCCTCACTAGTGCTGAATAGACAGAAATCATCACTTCCCTCAATCTGCAGGCAATGCTCCTACTAATGCAGCTCAGGATGCTGTTAGCTTTCTTGGTAACAAGGGCACGCTGTTGTTAGCTTACTGTCCATGATAACCCCAAGGTCCTTTTCTACAGAGCTGCTGCTTAACCAGTCAGCCCCCAGCCTGTAGCGGTGCATGGGATTGTTCCATCCTAAGTGCAAGACTAAGTGCAATGACCCCATCCTCCCTAGATGCAAGCTCTGAGGAACTTCCCATTGGGGTGCAGTTGGCTGTGACATCTCTCCCGAGCCAGAAAAAGCCTCTGAACTCTGGGGGCATTTCAGATATCGATATAAACTCTGGCTCCGGCCTGTCTCTAGCAAAGGGAGTCCAGCTTTTGTTAATATGCCCAGTGATCTGGGGTATCGCTATTTCTCAGACACAAAGGCCTGATTTTAGTGCCTACATCACCAATAAAAGTGAATGGGCTGTGGATCCGCAGCCCTTCAGCATACCAGGTGACTCCGTTTCCATTTTCAAAACAATGATATTAGTAACTTAGCAGATATTGCACCATTTAGGCTGATAACAATAGGATGGCCCAAGCCAATAGGAGATGAAACAGGTCCACAACGACATCTGTGGTGTTCTCAGTTTCCTCTCTCCTGATATGATGCTATGAGAAGGCCACCTGTAGTAAAACAACAGGAAGGATCTCAGGGCACAGAAGAAGAGTGGCATTTTTCCTTAAAGTGACTCTTTCCTAGTGAAAGAAAGCAGTTTGCATTCATGCAAATTCCTTTCTGAGCACTCCTCGATGGCCAGTTCCTTTTGACTGATCTCTTCCACTCTGTGGGTGCATCTACACAATACATTTGCTGCAGGGCTGCCTAATTAGCTCCACAGTAAAGTCTCAGCATCTACACATGCAGCCCTATTATACCTCAGTAAACTAACCCTGCCTTGTGTTTACAAGTACTAACCTATGGCAGCGTTCTTTAGTGCACAGCAACTCAAGTGTAGACACTGATGCGGCTAGCTGGGACATGTGGGTGCTTCAGTGCGGGGGCTGCCTTTGAGGGCAGCACACTGAGCCAGGTTAGCGCAGCACTGGGCTGGCAGGCTGACCCCCGCAGGCCTCTGCCAGCCAGGGCTGCTCTGATCCAGCTCAACATGCTACAGTTGGAGTTTATTGGTTCACATTAATTGCACATGTAGCTGCACTCTGTATCTTCCCATCACAGCCTGATCACCTTGTCATTGAAATACTCTCCTCAGCAGCACATCATAGTTTGGTACTGTACCACTGAGTTGCAGCAGCCAGCCAGTAGGACCACTTCTCTTTAGTTTAATCCTTCCTGTCTCCTCTAGTCAATCCTTAGTTAATCCTTAGGCACAATTGATAATATTGTGCTTTCTGAAAGATCCTTAGAGGCCAGATCAGCTTGGTCTAACCTGAAATGTACCCAGAAGAGATGCAGCAGCATCCTTGTGCCTACTAAGTGTGCCTCATCTCTCAGCTGTTTCTTGGGCCTCCACAGAACCTCTGCTTTCACTCTGCTATACTACACTGGTGCTGACATGTCTTCCTCACTAGCATAGGAGCATAGCAGAGGAGTATAGCAGAGGAGTCCCCATCACAGGGATTCCTCTGTTTATACTGAACCACGGCTTTCCACGGGCAGTGCTTGCCAATTGCTGCTTCCTCCCATGCACATGCTTGAGTGCGCACTCAAAACTTTTCTGCATATGCTCATATACATATAAAGGCTCTGCCTAATCAAGTCTGTTTGTGGGCAGGTTTAGTAAAGAGTAAATGGACTTAGATATCAAAGTAACTTCCCAACCAGGTCACTGAGGAAGCATGTTGTGGGGGTCCCTGGTGTCAATGCTTGTAAACAAGATAAGTTTACAAAGCATTTGCCAATCCATCTGCGCAGTCTGCACACAAGAGCTGCATTAAGCAGGGTGTCCTGGCAAGAGGTCCAAAGCATGGCATAGATATTTAATTCTGCACACTGGCATTTCTCCCATCTTCCCAAGCTCCTCTAGGACTTGAACCCCTGCTTCTTTCCACTTTTGTTAGCAATGCTGATAAGATGCATCCTTATGAAGACTTGGTGTGTCAGCAGAGAGTTTTCAACTCTTTACCCTAGACAGCCAAGAAAACAGACGCCGGTTTTATCAAGGCAAATTGGTCAGACACTTTCCCTCATCCCTTCTGTATTCATCAGCACAAACAGGTTGGGCTTTATTCTGGATCCTGGTCATTTGCAGTGAAAGGTAGAGTGAATGAACAATTTGCTTGGAGTGATTTGTGAACAGGTCTAGTGCCAAGGATCTGTCAAACACATTCAGTGCATTTCACCCTGCACAGAGAATGAAGGAAAGATATAATATGTTGTATGAAATATAAATATACCCTTGTGTATATATGGATGTACATGTACAGAGTGCCTGACAATATAGAAGGTCCTGCACAAATATATCACAGTGCAGTTAAAGACTATTAAATTGCAACCTTGTTTTTGGCATTTCTTAATGTATGTGTTTGGGTTTGCATCATAACAATCTTATAATGCAGGAGGAATTGGGTCTTGTTTATGATGTACCTTAAAAAGATATACTGCTGAGATGAGGTCACCTCACTAGTGCCAGCCTCCGTCCTCCTATTGTGAGTGGGGGCTTTCATCACCACATGCCCAGGAAGGGCACAGAAAGCAGTCATGAATATACAACAATCCTCATGCCCCCCCCCCCCCAAAAAAGTCCATATCAAAATAGTAGGTACACAATCAAATATCAAAGCACAAATTCAAGAGTCCTAGTCCTCTCCTGGGAGACAGCTCAATCCGAAGTGTCCTTTAGGTACAGCCAGATGTCTTTGATAGTTCACCATACTTGATCAAATAAACCTATTGATCCTTAGCATGAAAGTTCAATACAGGCTATCAGTGCTGTGAGAACAGTACAATAAAACCCTCAGTCTTTTTGATCTCTGCTGAAGCATTTCATCTTGACATTTGTTAAATGTATCAGTAGATTGCTTAAAATGAGAATGAGGTTTTAAAAGCTTACTGGAAAAGGAAAGCTCACATTAAAAATTCAGCTTTTACATTGGTAACTTTTTACGCTGGGTACTTTTCATTAACTGCACTGCACAGCCAGGTATTATTATCCAATTCCATTTTAAGCAAGATGGTGAAACCTAAATGGATTTCTAAATATATATGCTTGGTCTCATTCTTACAAGTGGCATTTAACAGATTTTATCAGCTTTTCCACCTTTGCGGTTAATCATTCCTTACTAACATGCCTTATGACCCAGATCCTGTGATGGGACCACATGGGGAAACAGGAGCTTATGCTAGAGAATACTAAAGCACAACTGGGGTCCAACTGGAAGTGCTTGTTGGCAAACAGAAGGAGGGAAGGAATGAAAAGAACAGTTTCAATAATCTGATACATGAATGAGGTCAGGCTAGATTTTGATCTCAGTAATACAGTGGAAATCCAGAGTAAGCAGTCAATGCACTGGCTTTGTTAATGCTATTGGGCATGTGCTTTTTTGTAAAAGACATCAAAAACTTGTTTCATGTACAGAACACTTTCTCCCCGCCCACATACCGTGTAGCATGCTTAAATACATTCTCTCTGCTCTATAAAAGCATCTATCTATAGTGCCAGTTATTCAAATAGTAACAGATTGATTTTTAAAAACCAAAAACATTAAGTGCCAACCTCTCAAGTTGCAAAATCTCACTTTAAAAAAATGGAACCCACCGAACACTTTTAATACTCCCAGTACTCTATGAAGCCTGTGGTCAAGGCCGAGCATAAGCCCATAGGAAAAATAATAGATTTTGCAGACACCTAGTAGTGTCACAATTCCCATCATTAGCACACTGTAGAGTCCAGAAGCCACCTCTGTATGAGCCTCTGATAAGGAGGTTGGAACTAGGAGGGGATTCCATTTCAAGGCCCTTTACAGATAACCTCTCTCTCCAGGCATCACAAAGACCTGTGGGAGTATTCAGGGGATGAATCCCCAAGCCATGAAGAGCAGAAAGGAGAAAGACTGCAACAGTGATTCATAACATGGCTTGTCCCTTAACTTGGCATGACATTTTTGGTTGACATGGGCATTAGGCAGAAGAGACTCTCAAACCCTTGGCCACCTGGCACCTTAGCCTTGCTCTCAGAGTACTGATGTTGTCCCTAATGTGCAGCATACATTCTTTCTTAGCTGGACACGCTCAGCATGCTCATTAACTGATTTAGTGAGTTGTCTTTGGAAACAAACTAAATGTAAACATCCTAATGGCTCTGCATCACTTCCAGATAGTTTTTAAATTCCAGGAAGACTAATCTTGCAGCACACAACATTGAACTTCTAGATGTGCCCCCACTGCTAGAAGACAAGAAAGAAAAGTTACTTACCAACTTCAAGAGAAAGTGTTTCTTTTTCCCTTTTTCCCTTGCGATCAGCATCCTAGAAGCCCTCCTGCAGGACATAAACAGAGAGATCAGCCAGAGTGACTGAAAACAGCAGCGCTCAGGGGAGAAGGCCGAGAATCAAGAGAGAAGAAAGACTTTTTTTCTTCCCTTTAAACTAAATTTATAACTCTGTGCAGGGAAGAACAATAAAAAAAATTGCTTTACAGACCAGAAAGCAGGGAATAGGGAGACCTGGGGGAGAAAGAAAGGACAAAAGAGATAGTGGGGAGGGTTAGGGTCTTTACTATTATGAAAGAAATGGTCAGTGAATTTGGTTCTTAAGAAAACTTGGGACCATGGATGAAATTCCAAGCATGAGAAAAGACCCCAAAGCCTCTCTAAAGCCCCAGTACCTTGAGCAGTGTATGTGGTCAATGTGGTTCCTCTGCAAGAGGCAGAACTGAAACCTGGCAGAATTGGATATATCCATGCACAGGGCTAATGGATGATCCCCAAACTGATTCTACATATTGAGATCATACCTGCACTGTGCACCCATTTAACAAGATCCTAAGTGCAGGGTGACCCCACCACATGATGCTCAGGTTGAGAATTTCTGCTGTAAGACGTCTTCAAAACATGAAGCGAAAAAGGCCCAAAGGCAGGAGTGAGAGCAGAAATGTTCCAATGTCACAGCTACAGCAGGAAGTATGAGTGGAAACAGCAGAAAGGGAGCAAAAGGGCTTTGAAAGACCGACTGCCTCTCTTTTCCAACGCCCTGAATCAGCCAGAATGCAAGGAGAGGTCACAGGTCATCTGCCTGCATCCTAACTGTACTAGAAAAGGTGGGGGGAAGAGCTCCTCTCATTGAATGAGAAGATGGAGGCCAGGAGTAATTTCCAGGGTATACGCAGCCAGTGCACTGCACTTTTCTAGAAATGAGGCATCTCAGAAGCAGCAAACACATCTCAGAGGCAAACACGCTGCGCCAGGCAAAACATCCGAGTGCACTTCAAAGGAAGCCTTAAGGGCAAGGCATTGCAATAATCTAGCCTAGAGGTAACAAGGTCTGCACAGCTGGAAAGAAATTTCACAGGAGACTCAAGTGAAGCAAAATCAAATAAACCCTCCAGATGGTTTCAGGACTTCTCCCTCTTATGTTCCAGCACTTCAGCACAACAGAGAAGACAAAACTCATCAAGGTCCCCTAAAGGCTGCTTTGAGATCCGTATTTGAGCACAAGCCTTCCTGTTCAATCCAAGTCAGAATGAAGCACCATGGCTTAAGCAGGACATTGAACTTTCAGCAATGGACTGATCTGGCCCCACTGTGAGTGTAGAAAGGACAAGCCCCATTGGAGCAAAATTGGTAAGAGTAAATAAAAAGCCTTGGAAAAGTTCGGTGGGACTCTGTGAGGTCTGTAATGATTGTTGCTGTGTATATTACAGGAGTGCCTGGAGAGTGCAAAAGCAAGCAGGTCCCCATGGATCTAGGCATTATAAACCATCTTGGATGAGACAGTCCCAGCTCTAAGTAACTTCAGATCTAAACAGGAAAAGTACAGAAAGAAAACCAATGCATGGAAGAAAACAGCTTGCCTGAAGTCGACAGGCAGGCCAGAGGCAGAACAAGGAATGCGGCCCAGCTCTCCTGACCACTCTCCACAGCCCAGCCCATTGGGCCACCATGCCGCTAATGAAGCTTGGTGAAAGGATAAGCTGATTTGAAATAACTAATTGTGTCAAATTAGCTGTGTTTTTCCAGAGCCTTAACCCCTTTCCATTGTTGCTTGGTTAGCTTTTAAAACGCTTAGTTAGAGATGATACTGTAAATCTCCACTTGGCAGCATTACTAATCTGTTTGTTATTTTCCAGCCACAGTACATCCCTGATCTGAAGCCTGGCAACACTAACATGCTTAATTGTATTATTTCCCGGGGGGAGCGCATGTGGGGTGGGGACCATTCTAGCCATTGTGAAAGCTGCAGCATTTACTGTAGAGAGCACATGACAAGGCCTAATGAGCTGTATTTTAAAGGGCCACTTTTTTGTCACACAGAAATGTCTTCTCTGAAAACGATTATTTTAGTAATGCCACCAAGAAGCAATGTCTTAGACTTCCCTGAGAAATGTGCAAGATGATTACCTCACCGGAGAATAAACCCATCATTTGACAGCACTGTGCAAAGGCGTAATGCAGCTCTCTATTATTTGGATGTAGACACTGGTGGACGGGCAGAAAAATGCAACAAAATATCAGCTCTTAGAATTGGCCCTTTGTACTTCCCTTTTTTACCCCTTGCCGGTACCCATCTGCATTTAAATAATGATACCGTTACTGTTGTCCCTGGCATGTACCAAGCAGGAGAGTGGGCAGCACTCAACTCCTTGGGCTACAAAGAGTGGAGAGAAACTCAAATGCAGAGATGCAGCCTCACTAAGGAGCCTGACCCATAGGCTAGGGACAGAGATTCAAAAAGCCTGAGCCTGAATTGATTTAATCTTTGCAGGTTAGTCTAACCTGGCTAGGCTGAACTGGACAGACATTCTCTCTGGACTGAGGAAATTCAGGCACATGCCTGCAGTGGCTCAGGCTAGAAGCTGGGGGTGGGGGGGCGCTACAGCAGCCCTCCCGTCCCTTCTACAGGGAGTTGAGCTGAGGAGGGCACGGCCAGACCCCAGCAGGACTCCCTCATTAGGGATGTCCACCTACACAGTCCCAGGGTTTTCCCAGCTGGCTACTGAAGGGACAGGAGCGTTTCCAAGAGGGGTGTGCAGTGCATGCATCTGTTGTTGATGCAGAGCTTTTCAATCTTCCTCCCTGCTTTGTCATACTGCCTGCAGCAAACTGACAGGTGAGCAAGCCAGCAGGGCGGGTAGAGGGGAAGAGGTGGCTGATAACAGTCTTTATCACCTTATTAGCAAATCAATAGACTCTCTCCACATTACTTCAAACTTCTTAAATAGCTTACCAGCTGACCTGTTGATTAGCTCCAGAAGCCCTAAGTGGCCACTGTTCTCTCGGACTATCCCAGTGAAATTGAAGACAGAGACACACACAGACACCTCTTGGCATTAGCTAGCATACCACATGCTGGCTATAGTCCCTGCTGTGGCAGAGAGGAGGAAGGGATCCATGCCTAACCTGCAAGGGGGGAGAGGGGGGCATGGGGAAGCCAGCAGACCCTGCTGTGCCTGCAAGTCTGTGCCAAGCTTCAGCCAGGGAGCAGAGGGGACGGGCCAGCCCTGCTGTGGAGCAGAGAGCCTCGCCCAGCCCAGAGAGCATGCCGGGGGACTCCAATTTAACTTAAACCAGCAAGGGGTCTGGGACAGACATTGCGTTAACTGGTTTGACCCAAATCAGTTAAGTCTGATACTACATTCAACCAGGTTTATCTCAAACCGATTTCAGTCATTTTCAAACTGGTTTATGTGCACTGAACATCTGTTGTTACAGGTTTAAACCAGTTTCTGATCACTTAAACCGGTTTATGTGTAGTGTTTGTCCCTAGCCATAGTGACAACTCCCAGGACACACAGCAGTCATATATCTCAAGTTAAAGTTTTCTGGCCAAAAACAAAAACAGCAGCAATTTCCAAGCAAAGCAGACCATTTTTGCAAAGCTGTATCTTACTTGCTAAACCCAGTCTTCCACTGAAAAATAGCTGATAGAAAGTTTTTGACGCTTGCTGAGACCTGGCACTAAGGTTTTGCTATTCAAGCCCCTCATTCAGGTGTCCAGTACAGACTCTATGTACACTATGACACCAGGTAAGATTGCCGTTTCATGTGATGTAAAGCTGGAATAACTCACCTGAAGGCAATGGGGTTAAACTAGGGAAACAAATGAGGATTAAATCAGTTTCTTTTGGTGAGAAGAGCATGCATCTAGAGGCAGAATTTGACTATGTGATCATCTTGGCCCGAAACAAACAAGCTTTATTCTTTTTTTTGGATGGGATCAGTAACAACCGTAAATCATGTTATGGGAAACTCCACTGCTACTCCTCTTTATGGCCAGAAGGAACTGCTGAGCTTCTAGGAAAGATTTTATGATCTATACCTGGGAGGGCTCCCTTGCCTGTTTTATTTCGCTTACGTAAAGTGCTTTCATGCAATGTTTGGGTAATTTTAAAGAACTGCAAACCACAGACCAGTGGTTCTTGGAATTTCCCAAAGAGTAAATAAAAAACCTCTCTTATGAACTCAGCAATTTTGTCAAGCAGTAAGGAGAGTGTCAATAGAGTTATTATTACAAAGCACTGATACGCAGACAGATATATGACACCTTCCATCACAAAGTGCTGCTAACTTGCCTGCAGGTCCTTGTGCAGCGGGATGGAGTTGCATTAAGCCAGCTTCATTTGTTCTGTTTGGGGTGATATTGGAGCATGGCAGTGGAAGCTGACACTGTCTCCCCAGAAGCTCTTGCTTGCTGATTTTTTACTGGAAGTGATATACTGCAAAATGCTGCCCTGTGGGCACCCTCCACCCCACCTGGACCCAGGCAGGAAAACTTCCTCCCCTCTTCCTTTTTTTCTATCGGGAAAAACTTCATTTCAAAATTTCTTGGTGAAATGTTTTGTCCAAATCCATCCTTCCCCAGGAGTTTTGATGACTCCCTCACCATTTTTTGTAATGACAATTTTTTTTTAACCATGCTAGCCAGATCATCTCCCTCCAAAATCAATGGGTGTTGGAGTGCTACATATCTCACTGAATTGTGCCAAATGCCATTGTTGAAGTTGGCCTGATGACAGGAGCATTCTAGATGACATTAAAATATGACCCCATTTCTTAGCTAATATGTTCATGAAGAAGAAATTTTAATGCTTAGGAACAAGCTACAGAGAGAAATAGCTTCAGTCATTATCTACAACAGCCCCTGTAAACATTACAAGAGTCAGCACTGCAACATGCAGCTGCACATTACCGAGTAACAAGCTGAGTGAATGAGGTCAGGCCACAGAAAGGTATCTGCATTTATCATGTGTAGGTTAGTGGTGAACAGTTATCATTTGCACCTGTTACGCAGGATGGCATTTGGCTCTGTGCTGAAGAAAGGCT